GATTTATTCCAGTGCATAAATGTTCAAAGTGCTAATTGTTCCTATTTTACTTATTTGACATACTTTTCACTATTTTAGGACAAGTTTTAGTTCAAACAAGTAGGCGGACTGTCGCAGATAACAGCAAGCCTTCAGAGCATAAATCATTTATAGTAACGAGAGTCTTGAATAAAATAATTATCTCTATGTTTGGTGTAATTATTGACATTTTTTGTCCTTTCTCCTGTCATGGGTTTGAGGCGGTTCTTAAAAGGGTTTCAATAACGACTTATTGCGGAACTATACCTTACTTATGCAGTAACCTGCAATCAAAAAGCATTATATATCCATTCTCGACCACTATGCACTTATAATATATCCATTATGCACATTTTTTCCAAGCGTGACAGTGCACAATCTTTTGTCTATTGTTTAGCTATACTTACACTCACATCAAAGCAAAAATCATTTTTTGACTATTTCTTCAAATGCACAAACATTTTTAACCAATATTGGAATATTTCATAGTTTCATAATCTCATAGAGGGTGTTTATTTTTAGTCATTTTGCAATTTCCATCGTCCGTCAAAAAAGGTTCACGGTCATTGACTGATTCAACATCAAAATACGTACAAAAGATGTACAAAAACGTACAACAAAAGGTTTCCAAACCATTCCCTTCTATTAATTATGATTGGAGCGAACGGAAAAAGAGAATGGTGCGCAGTCCGACTTTAATATTTTTCAAAGAAACAAAGCTTATAACACAAAGCACATCGCAAGACRATTTCAAAAATACACAATATTTGGCCGGTTGATCAGAAACACGCTATACAAGAACGATGAACCCACTTGTAATTAGGTCAGCATTGTCATTCGAAAATCTTTTATTTTATTCTGTGGGAATAAAAGTAATTCTAAGGACAAAAGCTGAACGCGTCTTTTAGTCTATTAATAAGAATTCCTTCTTTACTCACAAATAAGTGTTCAGGCAACGTGCTCGCAATTAGAAGTAAACGTGTATAACATAAGAACAAGAGAAAGGACCTTCATTACCGAGACAAAAGAAAAGATCAACACTGACGTGTTAAGTTTTACATGAATTTTGTGCTTGTCAAGGCTATTAAATAGAACATTTTGGCAAGGAATCATGCTCCCATAAGTGTATGTGCGTACGGAGTGAACAATTGTTGGTAGGTTCGTAGGACATCGAGAAACTGGAACAGTCAAATGTTGCGTGCTGGCAAAATGTGTTAACGAGGCAATACATATTCAAATTTTATATAATACTCAATAGAAATCCAATCATTAACGAGCTATCAACAGCTGCATGGCCGACCGGAGTCTTTTAGTAGGGAAGGAAGGAGGGGGGGTTGAGTTCAGGGGTGCCAATCCTGGTCTCCACTTAAGTTACTTAACTCTATGTTCGAAATAGTGTACTGGTACACCCCCCTGAGAGTAATCGTGACCATTTCATATATATTGCGATGTAAAGCAAACAATTTGTGCAATTACAACTGAACATGAGCCAAATGTTGTCTGTGGTGTTGTTGATAAGCTTCGTGCTGGGATGTCAGGTAAGTTGTATATCGATATCTTAGTTTATATCTTTTTCTTTGTTACTTTGATTCTTTTCTGGTGATCTTTTTTTATTTCATTTTCGTGTGTTATTGCTTATTGTANTTTGTGTTGTTATATGAATATAATGAGACATATCTTTATTCATGTCTGTGCTTTTCTTTGCATTGCTGTGGAGTATCAGGGCATTTGCCGTTCAAGGGCAGAATGATTTATGTCTGTTGTTCTCCAGGGTCCATAAATCACTCAAAATTGAAGCAAATGGACTGAAAATTCACGGTAATGCAAAGAACAACTCAACACACAGATAGAGAAGCACTTTCAATTGCATTTTCTATATTTTTTCATATCATGAAAACATCGCAAACCCTAGATTGAGCTACCTGTGGTTCAACCTATTGGAGTGAGACCGTGATGGGTTAGGGTTACAAACCAACTGTAATCCATTATTGACAATGTTCATTGAATAGAAATAGGTACCCATAATACCATTCGGCAGTACATTCTCCTCAACCTCGTCCCCAGGACCATCTCGGCCGACTCCTTTTCAAGATGGCGGTCGTCGGGGGAGATGACCCTGGCGTTGGCTGGAATCACGTGATCGAAACCTCCAAGATTTTGGGAGGTTTTGATCACGTGGCTTATCTATTCAAAATGGCGCTCGAAAGTGAACTCAACGGTTTCACAAACTGGGATAGCTGTGGTGGGTCGGTATTTGCTTTGTTTTGATGATTTATTTGAAAAATGTCCTTCCGTCCTGCCGTCATCGGCAGTGTTGACCCCTAGACCGCCTACGGGAGTAGATCCAGTTCATTCTAGAATTCTTGAGGGATCCGCTCAAATCGGCGAGTAAAAGACTTCTATAACATCGAATGCTATCGCTAAATATATCCGTCAAGTTAAATTTCTTACACGAGTAGTTGGCATCTCAAAACCACGCATTGGACAAGAGAGACATTAGAGGACAACTGACAAGAATTCCAAAGAATATCGTTGCTTTTTAATCGACAAAACGTACCTTAATTAAATTTCGGGAATATTTGAATAAAAACAATGAACGCATCGTAACGGTTAAATCAATAACCGATCAAAGACCTAACGGTTATCCGGACATACCGACAGTGTCGAACACATCCCGACCTATAGACGAACATAAACAGCCAATAATGAGTGATATAAGAAAAGGCATTTTGAATAGCCAATCAGAAAGCGGCTTAGTTCAGCGAACGCCAGGGTCATCTCCTCGACGACCGCCATCTTGAAAAGGAGTCGGCCGAGATGGCCCTGGGGACGAGGTTGCTCCCGACGACCGCCATCTTGAAAAGGAGTCGGCCGAGATGGCCCTGGGGACGAGGTTGCATTCTCCTATCAATTCGACAACCATTTTTGAAAGAGCTGTTTGTCTGGTATAATCTTCTGACAGAAGTTAACTTACAATGATTTATTCCAGTGCATAAATGTTCAAAGTGCTAATTGTTCCTATTTTACTTATTTGACATACTTTTCACTATTTTAGGACAAGTTTTAGTTCAAACAAGTAGGCGGACTGTCGCAAATAACAGCAAGCCTTCAGAGGATAAATCATTTATAGTAACGAGAGTCTTGAATAAACTAATTATCTCTATGTTTGGTGTAATTATTGACATTATTTGTCCTTTCTCCTGTCGAAACTCTTCATGAGTTTGAGGTGGTTCTTAAAAGGGTTTCAATAACGACTTATTGCGGAACTATACCTTACTTATGTAGTAACCTGCAATCAAAAAGCATTATATATCCATTCTCGACCATTCTCAGAAAACTAGAGCTGTTAAGCAGAAGCTATGGGAA